GAAATTACTTGTCAAAGGAAGGGAGATTGACTTTGATCGAAAACACCTTATCAAACCTCCTAACATACTATCTTTCTGTCCTAACTATCCCTACGATAGTTGCCAAAATTCTTTAAAGAACACAATGCAGATTCCTATGAAGAGATGAGGAAAATAAGAAAAAATTCAATCTTGTAAATTGGGAGGAGGTGAAGACTCCCATCAGTTCAGGACGCCTCGGGTTGAGATCCATAAACACTTTAAATAAAGGTTTGCATGAAAAAATGGGCATGAAGATACTGGAATGATTCTAATAGCTTGTGGAAAAAAGTTGTGGACTGCAAATGGAATATGAAGGGTTGTCTAAGCAGAATCTGTTGAACCACAGCAATTATGGAATGAATCTATGGAAGAGTATCTCTAGTATGGGTAAAGCTGCTATGCAATGTTCTAAATGGCCAGTGGACAAAGGAAATAAAATCCAATTCTGATCGGACATCTGGTGTGGAAACAAAAATCTACAATCCCCTTTCCCTCTAATTTATGCTTTAGCCAAGGATAAACTTATGTGCATTGAGCAAGCGGTAGACAATAGTACGGGCAGCTGCTGGAATATCGTGCTGAACAGGAATATAAACGATTGGGAAATAGAGGAACTTGATAACTTGATGGTTATCCTAGAATCTATCAGAATAGTAATAAAAGATGACAAGCTGATATGGTCTTTGGATAAAGTGGCTTTTTTAGCACCAAATCTTTCTATAACCACATTACTGGCCATAACAGCGGGATCAAACAGGTTTTTCCAGCAAAAATGATATGGCAGACTAGTGCACCCCTAAGAATCTCCTTCTTTGCTTGGAAGCCTCCAAAAACCGTATCCTTACCATTGATAATCTCATGAAAAAAGGCATTACTCTAACAAACAGATGCTACTTGTGCAAGAACAATTCAGAATCATGTAATCATCTGTTGCTTTGGTGCCCTATCACTTACTCTCTATGGACCATGGTTTATGGTCTTCTTGGCATTTATTGAGTTATGGCTGGTACTGTCAAATATGAATTACTTGCTTGGGAAATGATAAGTAGAAAGAACAAAAAATTCAGACTCATCCCACTTACTATTTTCTAGATAATTTGCAAAAAAAAGGAACAACAGAGTTTTTGAAGGAAAGGAAGACACTTTTAGCAATATTTTGAACAAATGGCTCCATATCTTTAGTTCCATTGTGTTAGATCATAGCATTACCCATTTTAATAATTTAGGGTCAATTGTAGATATATTAATTGACTTGTAAATCCTTTTGTACATGGGTTGGATCCCCTTTGGTACCCCATATTAATATATTTCTACATTTTTATTTTTTAAAAAAAATTGAAGAAGATAAAAAAATAAGGACTTAAACCTAACTTTTTAGGTTCTTATTTTTTAAATAATTTACTTAATAAGTCTCTTGGTATTTTTTAAGATTAATAATACATACGTAAAACAATATAACTAATAAAATATTTTTGTTGCTTTATATAACTAATGAAATACAAACATATTTGTTAATCTTTATAAAAAATACTTGCTTATTTTTTGCAACAATACTTATTGGAACATGTAACTGCTTATTTTTTGAATAACAATTTATTTACTTTACTTTACTGCTTTAAACACGTTTCTTTCAGCAACCCAAACTCTCTCATAGAAGCTTCTTTACTGTGTTTTGTGTAGAATTTAAGTAATTCTCCTGGTTTATGTTGAGACTCCTCCACCGCTTTTTAATTTTCTTTTTTTAATCAAATCATATTTTTGTAGAATTGTTTGTATGAATGATGAGATATTAAATCTACTGATTGGGAAGTTTTTTTTTTTTTTTTTTTAAGAAAAGTTAAACTCTAAAACAATCAAATTTCAGGAGCAAGGGTACGTCTGGAACATTCATGTTTCTCTAGAATTGGTCAACTTCTAGTGATAAATTCATGTTTCTCTAGAATTGGTCAACTTCTAGTGATAATCTGTGTTTCTCTAGAATTGATCGCCTCATCATTTCAACTTCATTCCAATCACACATGCCAAGAATGATATAGTGATTGCTGCCACAATTCAGTATGCATCAAAGTGAGGACCATCTCCTTTTAGATTTGAAAATAAATGGTTTAAGGTTTTAGGATCACATGACAAAGTTAAGGAATAGTGGGATGAGGCTCTGATGGAGGGTCATTCTAACTACAGGATCACAAAGAAATTTAATATATAATAAAACAAGATCAAACTGTGGAATAATGTTGAATTTGGTGCAGAGAGGTTGAAGAAGGAATGTCTTCTAAGAGAATCGGAAACGATAGGCGGATTGGATGGGGAAGGCAGAATATCTCCGGAAGATGGAGAAAGGAGAGTTGAATTTGTCTTCAAGTGGCCAACTTGTTCTAAGTGAAGGAGATTGCATGGAAATAGAAATCAAGAGCCTCACAGATTAAAGAAATGGATGAGAAAACCAAATTTCTCTGCAATATAGCTAATCATCATAGAAGATATAATTAAGTAGATGAGTTTGGAGAGTGATGGCCAAATTTTAAAGTGAACAGGGTGTTGAGGGAGAAAGTGAAAACTGTCTTTGAGAATCCATACTTGAGTGATGTTTTGGGAGATCTACATAAAGATGACTTAGACTTGTAATACGTTGGAGGAGCAGGAGCAGATTTGGTGGGATCTCCTTGCACGCAGGGAGAGATTTTTTGATCTTCCATGTCATGGATATTTGATAAAGCTATTGAATGGCTTCAACAAGTGTTTATTGAAGAAACTGGACATTGATAAAGGATGATTTTATGATGCTATTCAAGGAATTTTGTGAAATGTCTTTTTCATTTTCAGTCTTCACTTTCCTAGTATTCATCTCAAAGTTTGCTGGGGACTTAAGCATAAGGGACTTCCGACCTATCAATCTTGTGGGCTGTGTATACAAGCTCATTGCAAATGTACTAGTAAAGGGACGACATAGTAAGGTACTAAGAGAATGTCAACTTGCCTTTTTTGAGGAGAGAGAAATTTTTGATGCAACGGTGATCAGAAATGAACAGTAGATAGCTTATTAAGAATTGATGTGGAATGGGTAAATTTGCAAGCTTAGCATGGAGAAGACTTATGAATGTGTCTTTTGGAGTTTCCTTTTTCTATGTTGAATAGAATAAGTTTTAATGCCAAGTGGTGTTCGTGGATGAAGACATTATTACTTACAAGTCCTTTGCTGTCCTGTCAGCAGTGGTCCTTCAGGACTTTCTGAAGTCTCTAAGGGCCTTGGGCAGGAAGAACTTCTCTCTCCATTACTTTTATCATTGTAATGGAAGTCTTCAACGGATAGATCAACAAAGCTAGAGAAAATTAGTTATTTGGGGTTTTTTGGCAAAGGAAAGTGAAGATGTCTTAGAGGTGACTCATATGTTTTTTTGTCAATGATGGATTGCTCTTTTGCGAGCTCAACCCGAACGCTACACTAAATGTTAGATGTATTCTACTTTGCATACAAGCGATATCTAGTCTCAAAATCAATATACCCAAGTCTGAATCGACATCGATTGAAGAAGGGTGATATTTGGTTTTACTTGTTAGTAGTCTAGGGTGTAATGTGTTCACATTTCCATT